TGCAAGAGCCATGGCGCGCGTGCCACTTGTTTGTTTGTGTGTCCCAGGGCCCCTTCAGTAGATCCCATCTCTCTGCGGCATGTCTCGTTTCGGGCCGATCCGTGATGGCCCCGGGGGCCCGAGAACGAGCGAAGACGCCCGCTGTAGAAGAGAGCTAGCGCGCGGAGCGCAGGCGGCAGGAGAGAGGCGGGCCTTGCGGCCAAGAGGGGGTGAGTAGCCTGCCTTGTGCCGGGGATGCGCGTGCGCAGGGCTCCCTCCAGCGAGCTCTGAGACGTGGGAGCCTCCTCCAGCGACCTGACGCCGCAGCAGACCCTCGCCTCCCCCCCCGCCTCCACGGGATGCTTAAAGCTCGGGTCGCTGTCGGGGAGGAACCATCCGCGCGGACCAGCGCCACGCGAACAGTGATGGCACACCGGGCGCCTTCCAGAATGAAGCCGGGCACGTCCCTCTACAGGAGGCATACTCAAGAGCAGTCAGAAAATGGTCTGGGGACGACTGTTGTCGCTATTTCTGATCATTTTTGAATATGCTCGGACTCTTTGTAATGTTTCGTCCCGAATTCCCCTGTAGGAGGACATGTCCGACCTAATTCCGGAAGCACCTCGTCCGCCTCGGAGTTCGAGGGTCGACGACCGAGGTGTGCCTGGGCGCTCCCGGCCCTGTTTGCCCCCCCGCCCAGCCCCCCGGTTGGAGGAAGGTGGGCCCCGGTCGGCCGTGGCCGACACGGGCTCCTTCGGGGGCGGAAAAGAGGGGGGTGATGACTAGGGGGGGGTGGATATCATGGCGTCGGCCATGATATTTCCCCAGATTTCATGGCGCCTCTTCTTATTTCATTACGTTCCTGGCCCCCCCGCTGGGCCGCGCACATGCCGCCGGTCATGATTTGCACCCCCCCCTCTTGGACACCCCCCTCTTGGCCGGTCCCGACTCCTGGCCGCTCGGAGGCCTAGAGGTTTGCACCGACACAGGTATCGGCGGTGTGCCTGCGCCGAGGGACGATGATCCCGATCTCGGCGATGGTGGCAATATTCGGGCTGCCTGGGCGGCCGAAAGCTTATTCCGCCGGCACCGGCTACCAGGGTCGTCCCCCGGGCCCGCCGGTGGAGAACACCACCAGTGCTGGTGTCGGTGCCCACGTCCAAGCCCACTGAGTTGGTGGTGATTATCTCACATCGCCATACTAGAAAACGCTTGTCCGCGAGCATTTGCCTAAGTGGGGCTGTGTGGGCTTGGGCGGATTGTCGACGCGGCTGTCCAGGGAGGTCTCGGATGTTCATTGAGCTGCGCTTGCTCCGACGAGAGGCAGTCTGCAAACACTTCGCCAATGTCCATACCACGCAGGGCCAGGGTGAGGGGTTAGGAACATCCAGTCGGGTGTGCCTCCTGATCTCGGCTCTTCAAATATCGTGCTCTTGGCATGCGAACCCCGAGTGTGGCAAATCCAATGTGGCATCCTTAGCCCCTTCTGGGTGCCGTCGGCATCCTTGGCGCCTGTCATCCTAGTGCGCTCTGGTCACTCGCATCCTTACCTCTGCACCATCAACATAGCCGACTTCTACTGCATCATGTCTTGGCAGCCGCTTGCTTTTGCGAAGAGAGACGCGTACACTATATGCGTTCGTAATCCCCGTTCGCGCGTCGCGGCTTCGGCCAGAGAGCTGCTCGTCTCCACTGCTGTGTCGCGAGGGCGCGACGATGACCGTGCACTGCGGGGCGCGATACGCGCAACTCGGAGACGTAGACCACCCGATGCCAGGGAGTTGGACCAGTGTGCAGCCCTCCCCCCCAGGCCCCCAGGCAGAGCTCATTTCGATCCCATCCAGCCGATTCGATGTCGAGTCTGGCCGCCCCGATCCTCACATGCGATCCCGATGTGCTGACGGCACGGTGCGGCCCAGAGCTTGCCTGGAGAGTGTTAGTGTGAAGCCTGCCGCGGCCGGCCCGGTTTTGAGTGCCGATGCGGCCCGATGCAGCGCACCTTCCGAGTTGATCTTCAGTCGGGCATGTCCCTCCACAGGAGGAATATTCAAACACAGTCCGAGAAACAAAAAATCTGGGGACGGTTTTTCGATTACGTTCGAGTGATTGGGGGTATTTTGTGACTCGCTTCTCTCTATTTCTCCAACATCCGCCTGTAGGAAGAGATGCCCGACCTGAAGTTGATCCGATTTTGGAATCGCCGCGGGGGCACAATCGGCTCTCCTCTAGAAGAGGGGCGTCGGGGCGCCAACTTCCCGCACTTCAAGGAAACATGATCGTCGATCCTGTAGATTTGCACTGCGTCGTCAGTGGTGTTGGCGTTTTTTCGTGCCGATTCGGTTTCCCCGGTTCGATGCTGGCTGATTCCTGGCTGAGTCCTGGCTGATTCTTGGCTGATTCCTGGCTGACGGGTATTTTGTGACTCGTTTCTCTTTTTCTCCAAAATTCGCCTGTAGGAAGACGTGCCCGACCTGGAGTTGATCCGATGCCCCGGTTCGATGCTGGCGGATCCCGCCAGGAGAAGAGCTGGCGGACGGCAAAGGCGCAGGCAGGGCCGCGCCCCCCCTCCCCAGGGCCGGGGGGGGTGACGAGGGAGAGGCGGGGGCCGGGCAGGCACAAGGATCTGTGGCACGCAGGAGGGACCCTTTTCGGGAGGGACGATAACACTTTTTTTGGTCTGCGGGTCGAGAGCGGGCCTCTTCCGGTTAAAAGCTAGGCGGGCTACGCAAAGCTCTAATTTCAGAGGCGAGCAACATATGTACACGTACGCGGTCAGCTTCCCCTGGAGGGCGTGTCAACGCGGACGTTCGTGCAGGCAAGACCGCGGAGGGCGTACATGTACATATGTCGTTGCTCGCCCATAATTGGGGAGACAGAGCACAGGCGGGCGGGGCCTCAGGCGGCCGGAGGGCGGGCCGGGGTGCAGGCGGTGCCGAGGAGCTTGCACAGGAAGGGGAACGCCTTGGACAGCAGAGGGACTAAAAAAGAGAGAGAGAGAGAGAACCAAAAACACACAGACACCATGAATCGTCGATTCTCCAGAACATATGGGAAAATATGGGCAGTGGGGGGGAAGACAGAGACCCATAACATATGGGGAAATATGGGGAATATTTGTTTGTGGGTATTTGTTTGTGTATATATATATATATATGTGTGTGTGTGTGTGTGTGTGTGTGTGTGTGTGTGTGTGTGTGTGTGTGTGTGTGTGTGTGTGTGTGTGTGTGTGTCCCAGGGCCCCTTCACCTCTGTCGGACCGACCTGGGGCAACGCTAGAGCTCGAGGCTGCCTGTTCTCGGGCGGTCTCGTCGGCTCTCGGCGGTCTTCGGCCTCGGGGTGCTCTCCAGCAGCTGCTCTCCGCCGAGAGGCATCGGGGGGGGGGGGGGTACATTTCAAAAAAACTAATAAACATATTTCAAACATTTTCGACGAAAAATTAAAAATATTCCAAAAATAGTCAAAACATAATCCAAAAATAGTCTGGGGACCATTTGTTGATGATTTTTTGCCTTTTGGGGGTATGTGTGGGGCCTTCTTATTTTTCGTCGAAAATCCCCTGCAGGGGGACAAGCTATCGGGGCCCTGTGGCCGATATATCGGCGCTGTATCGCCTATCCAGCTCGACGTTTCCCCCCTGAGTTGGTCCCGCCCAAATTTCCCCCCGCCACCGCACGCAGCGACTGGCGAGCCGACTTAGAGAAGCCCGAACGTGATAAAAGACGACAGCAAGACGTGGCGGACGAGGGGGGGGGATTAGGAAAGGGGGGATCACGAGGTCTGCTTGCAGCTGGTTTCGGCCCTGCCGCCTGGCGCCAAGAAAGTCCGTTGTATGCAGCGCATTCGCCACCCTCCCCATTTTGCTATATGTACCTTTCGACCTCCCCGAAGGTGTCGGAGGAGGATAGCGACGGCGGGGAGGATGACAAGAATTTAGTGCCTTCCCAAACGGGTATCTTGATATAGTTGCGCACCGGCTTTCACATTGGGCTGCAATCACGATCAGGCAATGTCATTGTGACGCATGGTGTGTCGCTGGCCAGGCACCATGTATCACAGCGTGCAGGTGCGTTCCAGCCGTGTGGTGTGTACTATTGCGCTGCGCCGTGTGCGAATAAGTGTTGCATCGTACGAGGCAGAATTTCGTGACCAGAACGTGCGACGACGACTGGGATGGGTCTCGTGTTTGAGCACACTCGCGTGTCAGTCAGAGAGCGCTCGCGCGTCATAGATTGGGACTGCTGCCGTGGCTGTGGGTGGACGCAGTCGTTGCATCTCCGCGTCGAGCTGCGCAGCGCGCGGAATTCGACTCTGACCGTTGTGTCAGCCAGGGTGCTTGACCAGATAATCGTAGGAAGCGGCAGTTTTTCGTTCATGGGGGGTGGGGTTGCGTGGGGCAGTCTTGCACAGTGGGGACCCATTGCCAGGAAACGCCCTGCTTGCCTCCAGGGTGCCCTGGGTGTCGTGGGGTTCGATGGTTTCTCGCTATGGAGAGCGTGACGCTCCCATGCAAAAAATCAAAGGACGTCCTGGGGTATCAGGGTGGGGTTTCTTGTGGAAGGTTTCTTGTGGACTGGCCTCCACTGCACTCGGAATCGATGAAAACATGTGGCTAATTAGGTCCCCCCCCGCTCTACTCCTCCTCCTCATCCTCCATCTCCATCTCCTCCTCCTCTTCCATCTCCATCTCCTCCTCCTCCTCCTCCTCCTCCATCTCCTCCTCCTCCTCCTCCTCCTCCTCCTCCGATCTCCATGTTGCCCGATGCGGCATTGGCCCAAGGTGACCCCAGCTTTTCCAGAGAGGCCCAGAGTGCCTAACTACCAGAGCGATGCCCTGAGGGCCTCCACGGGCTCCAGATGGCTCGACGAGCGAGGGGGAGGAGGAGGAGGAGGAGGAGGAGGAGGAGGAGGAGGAGGAGGAGGAGGACGAGGAGGAGGAGGAGGAGGAGGAGGAGGAGGAGGAAGGACGGACATGGGTGGCACCTGCGGCAAGGACCGCCTCCGTGAGACCTCCGATCGACGAGTTGGGGTGTCCCAGCTCGGGGTCCTGCCGCCACAAGGGCGCCCTCGAGGGCGCGAAGTTTTTCGCGCCTCGCGTTTCGGCTCCGATTCCTCCCCATCCTCCTTCTCTTCCCCCGGGGGGGGGCGGCGCACTTGGATTAACGAAAATACACGGGTTTTAAGCGCGATGGCATAGTAACCTTACGCGGTGGCTTACGCGGGCCGCCGGCGCGGCGCTCCGCATTGGAGACGAAGGCGCTCACGCGCGACCTTACGCGAGCAGCTGACGCGCGAATGTCCTCTCAGTTGAGCTCGGTTGTGTGCGTCGCTCGGGTGCCTGCGGACTTGGTGACTCTTTGAAACGGCAGGGCCGTCTTTTCCCGCTTCCGTTGGGCCGTTCCCTTCCCTGCCTCCGGCGCCGCTTCGGCTCTGGCTCTGGCGCCATTGCTTTTGTGCTGGCTCCGGCCCCGGCTTCAATCCGAGAGCCGTTTTGTTCCCGCTTCGGCGCGCAGCTGCTTGCGTCGCTCGCCTGGGTCGACGAGTTGCGGCCTCCCATGTTCGGGCCGAGCGAAAGGGGGGGATAGGGAAAGGGGCGGTTACGAAATCTGCTGCATGCAGCTGGTTTCGGCCCCACCGAGGGGCCCATTCCTCGATACGTAGCCGCCTCCGGCGCCGGGAGGTGCCAGGAAAACCAGCTACGTGAGCTGATTCTCAACCCCCCCCTTTGCTATCCCCCCTCTTTCGCCCGACCCGACATGTTCGGTGGTTCTGCCGCTGCTGCCCCCCCCCGAGCGCGCGCGCTGCCCCTCGGGGGGGGCGTGCCCCCCGGCCGGCCTGCCGCGCTGGCCGTTGCGTGCTCTGCTCGGGAGCGGCCCCCGGGCCTCGGAGCTCTCCGAGTCGGGCAGTGGCGAAGCGTCCTGGCTCGCCTATAGCCCCACCAGACAGTGTTCTGAGAACGTGTTGTGGTCTGCACGAAATGGTCTTCGAACACTTCTGGCGGAGAGTGTCTTGTTCTCACACATGGGGTTTCGGTTCTAAGAACATCGCTTCTGTTCTTAGAGCATTGTCGGGTTCTGAGAACATGTCGTGGTAGGACTATAGGAGTGCCGGGACGGTCGGTCCCTGCTCAATCGGAGCTCTCCCGAGCTCGGGGGGGGGGGGGCGAGGGTGAAGTCGGGCGTGTCCCCCTACGGGAGGAGTCGTCAAGAATAGTCAAACGAGTATGCTCTGGGAACGATGTGTCTTTCATCTCTTTGTTGATCATGTTTGAGTATTGTTGGGGGATTTGTTATTTGTCCTCCAAGGTCCGCCCGTAGGGGGACATGCCCGACCTAACCCGAGGGCTTTCGGGGGCCGACCCCGAGAGCCCCGAGAGTTCGGGGAGTCCTCTTAGCCTCTCGGCAGAGAGGCCAATGTTTGATTACGTTTGGACGTTCTCGCCTTTTCGGAGGAGGAAAAGGTACCCATACCTCTACCCTTCGCCCGTTTTCCCCTTTTTGGGGCCTCCTGGGCGGCCCTCGTCGCCGCCACCGCTGGATTCGCCTCGACATTCTGGTCAGGACGCACCGGGAGAGGTCAGGGTAGTATAACCGTATCGGCACCTTCTGGTTTCCCCACATCCAGGTCGGGGATGCCAGGAGTTGGTTTATTGTTCAGGGTTTGGGCGAGAAGGGCCGTGATCGGCGTTCTCCCTCCCTCCTCCCACGCCCCAAGTCACGCTATTTTGCCCACATGTGCAAAGATGTCCTGCGGGTTCGTCGAGGGTGTTCTAAGATTTCGGGCGGCCCCCCGCTGTGATGTGATCGGGGGAACGAACTCCCCCCCCCTCCCCGATCGCGCCCGGTATCGCGAATGATAATACAGCAACAAACAGGCTCGAGGACGGCATTCCCGGAACAATGCCTGGCGTGCCACGGGCCAGGCCGTGAAGCTCTTCGCCAAGAAGAAGGTGGAGCTCAAGAAGCTGCTGAAGAGACCAACCCTGCTTTCTGGGATGGGTGGGCGATCGGCGAGGGGAGGTGGGAGGATGGAGGGGAGGAGGGAGGAGGAGAAAGGAGGCTGGAGGATGAGGAGATAAGGGAACAGAAGGAGCAGGAGGAGAGGAGCAGGAGGAGGAGGAGGAGGAGGAGGAGGAGGAGGAGGAGGAGGAGGAGGAGGGAGGAGTAGGGGGAGGAGGAGGAGGAGGAGGGAGGAGGAGGAGGAGGAGGAGGAGGAGGAGGAGGAAGAGGAAATAAAGGAGGAGGAGGAGGACGAGGACGAGAAGGAGGAGGAAGAGGAGGAGGACGAGGAGGAGGAGTATCTCTGGGAATGTGAGCCAGAGTGCCACGCCGCCGTTGGGAGCCCGTCGGCGTGCTGGTCATTCGTCCCCTTTTTGCCCGAAGGCCTGGCGCTCCTTCGTCGGTGGTGCGCCGATGGCGTCCCCGTGGTGGCGGATCGCCGACGATGCCCGTGTCTGCTCCTCCCCCGGTCGCTGCTGCTGCTGCTGCTGCTGCTGCTGCAGTGCAGGAGGGGGAGGAGGAGGAGGAGGAGGCGGAGGAGGAGGAGGAGGAGGAGGAGGAGGAGGAGGAGGAGGAGGAGGAGTGCGCTTGGTCCCCTCCACGCAAGCTTCTGCCCCTACTCGGCGACGGGCCCACGGGGGAAGGCAGAGGGGGCGTGTCTTCTCGGGAGAGGACACCTGGCCTTCAGAGAAGCCTCTTGAAGTCGTCCCCGAGGGGAAGGCAGAGGGGGCGTGTCCCAGATTTATTTCATGGCGCCTCTTCTCATTTCATTACGTCCCTGCCGCCTCCACCCGTGGGCGGCGCACCTGCCGCCGGCCATGATTTGCGCCCCCCCCCCTCTTGGAAGCCCCCCTCTTGGCCGCTCCCGAGAAACTTTCAGGCATTCTATTTTTGGGGGCACGGCTGCAAAACATTCGCCGCCAAAATGAACCATGTAGGGGTGAGTGTGCCGTGGGTCATTCTTCGCGGGATGTCTCTGGGCAAACAAGCAGAAGAAGCCGTTTTTTTTTTGGGGGGTAAATTTATTATTTTTCCGACCCCTTTCCGTGAGTGGTTGAGTTTTTGTTTCAGTTTGGACAATCCAGAACCGTTTTGTTTCGGGCGCGTTTCCGGTCTCATTTTTAGCAGTCGTGCCCCTGGGAATATCGGAATATCACTTGCTAGCACAGGTGCCCATCGGTCGTTGAAAGCAGGTGTAGTTTCGGAGTCCCAGATTATTCCAGTGTGCTTTCATCGCCTTCCTGCTTCAATGATCGAGTGGGGAGCGGCTTCCCCTCTTCCGTCCTCCTTAGGGGCCGGGCGGGCAGCCGATCTACTTTCGACGCCTTATTACTGCATGTTTCTGCCTACTTCTTCCGACCGATGGGTGACCGTTGGTTCGGTAGCAGATCCACGGGAGCCTGGTATGCCCTCTTCATTCCGTTCTTAGCGTCGAACAGCGTCCATTGGCGTTTGGGAGTCGATGAGATAGCTTCGATTCAGCGTCGAATTAGCGTCGATGGGCGTCGAATATCGTCGATTCGCGTCTATTCGCAAGAGCCGACAAGATGGTATGAGAGGCTTCCATGAGTTGCCGCCGAACGTTGGTCCACCATTCGAAGAACAGGAAGTTCAAGAAACATGAATTTTCGGCGCTGCGCGCGGATTTGTTAGATCTGCGCCAGGTCCGCCTGGCGGCGCCTCCTGCGCCGCCCCTGGCGCGCGCCAAGGGCGGCGCCAGAGGTGCGGCCTGGGCGTCCAGCGTCGATCCGTGAAATCCGCGCGGGGTTCTGAGAGTTCCATGTTTATGCAGTTCCTTGTCCCTCTGAAGATATCACTTCGCCAAAGTTCTGGGCAGGACTGGACCTAAACTCTGTTTTGCTGGACTTCGGCTGAGTTTTGTCGCCCGTTTATGGCAGGGGGGTACAGGAAAACAGGTAGGGCAGAACTAAGCACAAAACGAAACAACATGAACAACAACGTTTAGGTCCAGCCCTGCCTTGTCCCTCGAAAGATAACACTTCGCCAAAGTTCTGGGCAGGGTCGGATCACAGCCAGCACATGGCAGCCGCAGGGTCGCTCTGTGTGGGGGTGCGGGCGGCGTGTGTCGCCGCGGGCGCCGCCGGAAATGGGCAGGCCGCGTCCGTATGCGCAGTGGTGTAGAATTTGCCGTTCTCCGTATTTGCTTCCTCCTCTTCCTCCCCTCCTCCTCCTGCTCCTATTTCTCCTCCTCCTGTTCCTCCTCCTCCTCCTCCTCCCTCTCCTCCTCCTGCTCCTCCTCTCCTCCTCCTCCTTCTCCTCCGCCTCCTCCTCCTCCGTCTTCGGCCCCCCCTTCTGCCAGGAGCCCTGGAGCGTGGTGTCTCGTTTTGGGCGACGTTGTTTCAGGGGGCGAAGAACAGTACCGTGGCACCCCGCAGATGCGGAGAAGAGCGCGGGGGCGGTGGAGACGTCGGCAGTCCTGCGAGACTCTTGAGAAGCCCGCCGCAGGCGCCCAAAGTTTCACACATTATACAACGAGCCCGCCGCAGGCGCCGATCTTTTCTTCGATGCAGGGTGGGTCGCGGGTGGGTCGCGGGTGGGTCGCGGGGTGGGTCGCGGGTAGGTCGCGGGGTGGGTCGCGGGTGGGTCGCGGGGTGGGTCGCGGGGTGTGTCGCGGGTGGGTCGCGGGTTGGGTCGCGCCGTGGGTCTCGGTTGGGTCGCGGGGGTGACGACGACAGCGAACAACAACAACAACAACAACAACAACAACAATCATTTTACCCGAACGCTCAGTGTTCTCCCCAGTGCCAGGGTTTTCATGCGACGCCAGCCAATACCCCCACTTCGTGGGGGGGCAATGCAAGCTCTACCAAACATCCACACGACTCTCGGGAACCACCCACACCCAGCTTCCCGCCCTATGACGTCAGGACACTTCACTTCGTGGCGCGCGGACGATCGTGGATACTACACTGGCGTGGAGTACACACCCGCAGAGGTTGATCACTTGTTTGGGCCCCGCATGTGCCCCGCATCGTGCATTTGTTGCGCATGACATACATAGTACA